CCCCAAAACCCCAAAACCCCAAAACCCCATTAGTTTAGAATTTTGAAATAAAGAGAATAACTAAATATTCATTCATAAATCTTTTCTCTCATAATTATGAATGCTCTCTTTTTCTTTTTCATCAGAAAGGGAATCTTTAGATTCAGATTGCTTTTATTTCAATGCCTGAAACTTATTTACTGCATCCTTCTATTTTTTCATCATCTCTTCTCTCTCTTTCTTTGTAGCTCTTTTTTTCTTGGATTCTCCGTATTTAGAAAACATTTCTATTTACTTTACAATTCTGAGCCTGCTATCCATTTGTTTATCACTCTCCTCTCTTAATTTTTAATCTTCTTGATCCATTGTTGTAGTGTTATTTGTGGGTTGAACCTAATCCTTGAGCCAATCACCCATTAAGTCCATGAAATCAAAACTTTCTTTTATGTAGTCCTCATCACAATCTTTCCTCATTTTAAACAAACAGCTTACTGTATCTAATACCTCATCTTCAACAGGAAAAACATCTAATAAATCTTTTAAGTATTGTCTGAACACTTAAAGCTATTTAGGTTTCAAAAATTTCTTTTTCTGCATAAGTTTGATTTCATCTAAATCTAGAGGAGAATCAATTATTTATGTCTCTTCTTCATTATCAGTGCTTTTACCTATTTTCTTATCTGATCTTGGCTCATCAATGGGGCTTATTGACATCTGCTCGCTTATCATTCTTTCCATCATTTCCTCATCAACTATTTCCGGATGGACTACGAGTATCTCAGGTAGCACAGCAAACTGCGTAGATGTCATATTATCAAGTTCAGGAAATATCATTCTTAGGTACATTTCATAAGAGACATCGCCCTCCTCTAAGTCCAATGGGTATTTAAACCTTTAAGTCTCATTGACAAGATGAGATCTAGCCATAATAGTGCTTTAGGGTAGGATATTTGAAAAAATCATTGAAAATCTGATCAGTTCTTAATCCATCAAGTAATTTTTAGTGTGGTTTTTAACTTTTCCATTTTATCTATCAATGGCATAACCTGATCCAATAATTTCTACCTCAGGATGCTCCTATAAAAATTATACCTAGTCCTCCAATCTATTTTTAGTGCTGATAGTATCAACTTCTTGGAACCCAAAATAATCTCCCTATATTAACTTGAGAGCATCATTTCTGTGTTCAATTGGATCTCTCTTTGTCAGATCTGCCTAAACATATTTGATTCTTTAATCTCTGTCAATGAATTATTATATCATTGTTTTATAATTAGTTTCCATTGTGCCACTTGTTTAATTCAAGGTATCATAAATTATTAATTCAAAATTTTTGTAGGTTTGATTCATCACTGAATTAAGAGTGCTCTCTAGAATATATGGTTTATCATGAATAACCATCAGCATGCTCACTAAGGGCTAAGCACTATGAGCAAGAACCAAATTTATCAGGAGAGAAATTAGAAGTGGTATAATAAACAGCATTAGTTTTGATTTTAATTTTGATATCTTTAATTGTATCTAATAACTTTACCAAATACTATTTATACCTATATGCTGGGGTTTTGGGGTTTTGGGGTTTTGGGGTTTTGGGG